GCCGCTGGTGAAGGTTCTATAGATGCCCCTTGCCTCGCACCACCTCCTTGCGCCAAACATTTCGGCGGCTCCATCGCTGTGAACTCTCCTCACTTCCATGCCCAAATACTTCAAACGAGCTAGCATTCGAGCCAGGCCAGCTTTCAGCTCTGATCCTTGCCTCGAGGTCAATGTCTCCACCAACGTGTAGTTCATCACGGCCACATCTTCCGCTTCCACCTCAAGTCTTTCCCACTCCTCCAGCACCTTGGGGTCACCTTCTCGGACTGGAACTTCTTCTGCCTCTGGCATGGGAAGCAACTCTTCTTCCTTTCCTTCCTCCACAGGCTCACCTTCAGCGCCTCCATGATGCTTTCAGGGAGTGGAGATGAGCCTTCCGGACCCTTCTTGATCGGGATGGCATAGACCCCAACCAGGAAGTACTTGGCCTTCTTCCGAAAATCTTCACCCGGACGAAATTGGCCACACACATCCAGGCTTAAGGTCATCGCATCTGGATGTGGAACCTTCTTGTGGGGACGACCACGGCCTGCTCCTTTGAGGCATGTAGTGCATTCCCTGGAGAATGGGATATGGTCTTGTAGGACATGATTCCTCCATTGCTCGGCTGTCATACGAGCCACCACTGGATCACTTCCCTGGCTCTCACCATCACAATGGCTGTCCAACACCAAAAGCATGCCCTTGACAATCTCCTCCTTGAAGCGCTCCGGCCACGCTGCCCAGCCCCTGCTCTGTGACACCCTTTGGTCCATTGACGTGCTGATGTCCAAGACCTGGCCATGAGCTCGGCCGTCGGTGAGACCCTCCAAGTTGCTCAGATGGGGGGATGTTGGTTCCCAAAGTGGTCGGCTTTCGACGCGAGTGTCCAAGCGCTCCCAAATCCAGACGCACCTCCGTCAGTCCAAAGCGAGCCCTAAACTCTTGCCACTCCGGCCAAGCAAAGAAAGAGGGGTACTCATTGGTGTCCTCCTTTGCTTTGTACTCCTCGGGGTCTCGTGGATGCTCCTTGAGAAACAGAACCAAACGAGATCGGGCTTGACTGGCCAACCCAAACAGCCAAAGTTGTCGCATCCAAAGGACCGCATCATTCCAAGCCAGCTCTCGCATAGCATCAGACAAGTCCTCCAAGGCGAATCTCTCTGGGCCCGTCCTTGCTCGGAGTGGTGGCGGCCCTGGCCTCCTAAACCGTAGCTTGGAGACAGTACGGCAGGGCGGACCACCCAGAACTGCATCCACGACACCCTTTTCACACACCTCTGCCAAAAAGTTCGTGAGTTGATCCGAGAGCAAATCTTGATTGGAGTCCGCTGTCGTGTCAATGCAGATGACCGTCCTGGAATTTGAATCCAACCTCTTGCGCCACCATGCCTGATCCGGACCGGAGAACAAGTGCAGGATGACGGATTTGCTGGCCATGATCTTCTGTCTTTGCCGTCGATTGAGAGGAACTGAATCTCCCGTCCACCTTCCCGTAGGGATCACTCTTGCAATCAACTCATCAGGGACTTCAGGCCACATCTCACGTAGCTGCTTGAGCCACCTCCAAACATTGGGAGCCATGTCTCCGGGATCTCCCGCCCGCAACGCAGCCACCCTTTTCGCAAGCTCTGCCTCAAACTTCTCCAACTCTTCGATCAAGCGATGAGCCGTTGGCAAATCAATCGTAGGGCACCCTGACTCCAGGACAACCTCGATCTTCTCACCCAACTTGTCCCACAGCTCAAAGGAGTCTCCTTCCCATTTCACTTTGTACCCCAAGCGAACGACCTTTCCCAAGGGCACAATGGTCTGGGTGTCAAAGTCCGTGATGAGGGTGCCAGTAGTTTCCACCTGACGAAGAGTGGTGACACCTGCGGCCAACTCCACCTTGATCGGCACGGCCGCCTCAAACTCCTTCTTTGACCTTGCCGGCCTCAAAACATGGGTGGCCCCACCATCCAGAAGTGCTCTACTCGACTCTTCGGAAGGATTCACAGACCTCATACTCAAAGCCTTCACCGAAGGGCGAAGCGACTTCAGCAATTGAACGGCCTCCTTGACCAAGTCCTCTGAGGGCGGCACAGCGGGAGGATTGAATACCGTCCCACTCGCTACTTCACTAGGAAGGGCTCCTCCACCTTCACCTCCTTTGGGATTGCCGTCCTTGGACTTCACATCTTCACCAGCTTCCTTCTTCACCTTCGGGACCTCCTTGACTGGGCATTCCGGCTTCATGTGCTGCGTTGAGCCGCACGACCAGCATCGGCCTTGTTTGGAGATGCCCTTCCATTCGTGCGGAAAAGGGCAGTTCTGACCCTTTTTGCAACCACTCTCAGAAAGGAAGTACCGGCACACTGGTTTGTCCGATGTACCACCCTTTGACTCACCTTTGGCATTCTTTCCTTCCGACTTCGGATTCTTGCCCTCCTTGGCGTCCTTGCCGCCCTTGCCGTCTGAGTGGTCCTTGGCCTTCTCGCGGACATCACGGTGCTTGTTCCCATCTTCTTTGAAGCCACCTCCATCCCCGTCCATGGCCTTGACCTTCACGGTGTCCTTCAAGGGTGCAATGGATCCTCCATGGAAAGCTGCCTCACCTTCCGCCATCAACGACTCTGCAAACTGTTGGATGCCGTTCTCTGTCGGGGCCACATCAACTCTCAGAGCTGCTCTGGTGACTTGCAAGCGGAAAGCGACCTGAGTGGACTGCTTCGCCAAGCTGGCAGCAAACCTGTCCAAAGTTGCCAACAGAAGGACCGGATCCGGTGGTTGAATGCCCAACTCTTGAACCCGGGTCAGCCACCTCCGCCAAGCCCTCAAAGAAGAAAGCCATTCTCCCAAAGGTCCAGGCACTTTTTGATCCACCAGCTGCTTCAAAAGGGTGGTTCTTTCACCCAGGCCACCAGGTTGACCCGCAGGACCTTGAACACAATGCTGACGGACCCCACCTCCCGCTGCGACACGAGTTCCGACCTCAGCGACTCCGGGATGGCCTTCAGCAGGGCCACGGATCCTCTCTGCTCAATCCTCAACCATGGCGGTCTCTGAAAGGCTGGGGGAGTGATTGCAACTAGCCGACTCAGGAGACTCAGTCGGGAGATCGACCGGTCTCAGTGCTCTCAAGACTGCCTCGTCATGCATCTTCTCAGACCAGAAGGGATTCCAGTTCTCGGGACCCAAGACTACCGGAGGACCCGCTGGTCGCATCAAGCCGTCTTTTGGGCCAGCATCTTCAATCGCCTTCATCCCCCCGGGTTCCGGGGTCTGCTCCGATGGGGCGCCCTCGCTCATGGCGAAAAGACAGCAAAGGTCACCCTATGAACCCAGCCGGCTTCTTGCGCTCAGCTTGGGCTCATAACCTTCACAAAAGAAGCTACCTCACCTCTTTTCACTTCTAAGCAAACAAAGGGCTTCGTGAAAATGCCCATGCTTCATCATGATCTCTTCTCATGAACCTTCAAGTAAACATGGTGTGGCACACAAATTGCTATTATGATCACGTGTCGACGGATGTCGTCTGCACGCCTCATCGCATCTCTGAACATATTTCCTGTATCTATCAGTCTCTCCACAGGTCATCGCAGATGCTCACAGATCTAGCTTTCAGCCCGGTTCTATCGAACGTTTTCCTGACCCACGGGATCATCCTGGCCCAGCCACAAGACCTCCCAAGCACAGTTGGAATAATCTGCCCCTATCTGCTCTTACTACGTACATGTGTCAGGCACAATCTCTCACCCATGGCGCCGCAAGCAGGCGGGGTGCGAGAGAAGACTGAAAAGGATTTGTCGGAGAGCCAAATCAAAGCCTGTAAACTCCGGATGAGCGAGTTCATCCGCCCAAGTGTTGTATTCACGTGGGATATGGCTGGCCACACTACCCGGCGCAGCACTAGCTCCATGAGGACGGCCGCCGTCTGACGCTCTTCTTGGCCGACAAGTTCAGGAGGCTGAAGACATTACCAGCAGTTGTCACTCCTTACAGGCAAGCGGAGTCGTCCAAGGACCTTTGCCTTGTTGGTGTAGTAGGTGCCGGGAAAGCAATTACAATGGTCCCCAAAAGGGCGAGTGCGGCAGTGCGCTTCTGCGGGTTTACCATCCTTGAATGCCCAGGCAGCCCTTGGTGGGAGTGGGTTGGCGCGTGCGCCAGCCACGACCTCGCCCATTTGAGGCCTGGCGACTGGCGTCATTACATCCCCACCACGAAGAGATTTGGGGCGGGCCCGATGGCGGATGGCTGGGAAGGGGCTTGAATCGGATAGGCTGGGTGAGCGTTGCCCCTTCCACTGTAGTGGCTCGCTGAAGCTGAGGCCGGGGCGGCGCTGGCTCGGCCGCCGCTTCATGGGCCATTATGTCTCCGGCAGTTGTCTGAAGGAGGGCGGCGTGGTAGGAGCTGAGTCCCTATAGTCAATGATGGCGCCATCGGGGATCTTGGCGCCACGCTGACAGGCCACCTGCTCAACTGGCTCTGAGCGCAAGCGGAGGGGCATCAGCTGCCTCCTCACCCCCCTGAGCCGTTGTTAAAAGCTTCAACTTCGCGCCAAGCCGCTTGGCACAGCGATATCGGAGACGTAACGGGGGAATGGGAAACATGCGCTGTGTAAACGCGGAGTGTGCCACAGAGTGTCACACGAGAGTGCCCCACAAGAACGTCCCGCAAGAGTACACAAGTGCCCCACAAGATAGCCCCACAAGAGTGAACCGCAAGACTGCCACAAGACTGTGCCACAAGAGTGACCTACAAGAGTGTCCCACAAGAGTGTCCTGCAAGAGCGTCCCACAAGAGTGCCCCACAAGAGAGTGCCCTACAAGAGTGTCCCATAAGACTGTTACAAGAGTGCTTTACAAGAGTGTCCCAGAAGGGTGTCACACAACCCTGTCCTAAAGGAGATATAGAAGAGTGTCACCCGGTCACCCCAGGTTGTCAATCTTTGGAGAATGCCACGCGAGACTGTTAGGGGTACGTCAATGTGTGTTCATTCGGGTTCGTGAGTTCTGTCAGGCTTTAATAGAAATTCAGGCCTTCGCCTCCTCTGGCGCCATGATCATCGAAGGCCAGGGACCCAAGAAGTGTCGTGTGAAGGCTCTTTCCCGTGCTGTAGCAGAGAGATCCTGCACGGAAAAACTTCAATGCCTTCAGGCAAGCCTATGTTTCATAGAAGATTCTTGGCTCGGACGAAAAGAACTTGTGCACACAGGGGCGTTGAGCTATGTTGCGAAAACTTAATATTAAATGACAGACTGTAATGTGTTTGAACATAGCGAACCTATGCGAACCTATAATCTATGTAAACAATTCTCCAATTGTTTTTCCTTAATTCCACGTCGTTTAAACAGTGTTTAGCATTTCGTTCCCGTCATCGTTTTTGTGCAATTTCCGTACCTTCCATTCCCTTCACCTTTCTCACCTTTCTCCTGCGTCCGATGCATGAAGCTGCGGCCACGGCAAATGGTTTGGAGCAAAGCCGCGATAGGCACCGCCCACAGCGCCGCAAGAAGCGCTTCGCCGAGCTGTGAGCCTTGCAGCAAACACCCTGCAGAAGCCAAGCGAAGCCTCGAGTCCGATTTCTCAAACGATCTCAAACAAAAACAACACATGACACAATCTATCTACAGTACATATTTTGCTTAAACTGTACAACTCAGAAAGCCAAAACATTGTAAAATACAAGCAAGTTGGTTTCTACAACTTCTCGGATGGTGCACAATGGAAAAATGCATGTTAAACACCCAACATCTATACATATGTAACCTCAAAAGTGACCGCGCTTGAGCTGGCGTTGACTTTTAGCGGCGTTAAACAGCACTACCAAGCTACTCATGGTCAGCTCCTGGGCAAAATGGATCCTTGTGAGGACGCCGTTGAATTCCACCACCTGGAAATGTGTTCACTTGTTGATATGTAGAAATAAGAACCATAGAAATCATTTCAAATAGCATCAACCACAGCTTCGCTCTTTCGGTCCAAGGCACCAAGAACAAGTGCGAGGCAAACCGAATTGATCCACAGGCTAAAGTGGAAGACTGCTGCCCGTTCTGGAGCACTGAAAGTCCATGTTTGAGAGTCATCTGTCAAGGAGATGATCCTCGCTCTTAGGCCGACAGCAGAAAGTGTCTGAAGCTCTTCTGCTGCAGTTTAACAATAATGAAACTAAATATATTGATTATATAGCCTATAGCATTGAGTATAGACACATATGATATATGAATTTTCGCTCTTCTGTCTTTTCTATGTGTTCAATATTCATTGCTGGCAGGGGCACTTGTGATGCTTCTGGCAAGCATGCCAAATGGTCTTCCTTGTACACCGCTGGCGGGCATCCACCAGCCAGGCATTTGCATAGCTGATGGCCCTGAATCGCAGAACATGTGGCTTGTAACCAGTGTCTGCGTTGAAAACAAAATGAACCACATGTCACATATTAACACAATAGCCAAGTCAGCCAAGTCGTTCCGCAATGTGCCTATGTGTCAGCAAATCGAGAACGGAGGAATCCAGCTTTGTTTTCACCTGTCCCATTCGTGCCTTTCTCTGAAGGGCTGCTTGACCAAAATCATGGCTTCTGGTTGAAAAGCTTCCTGCATTGAAAGCATTCCAGAGGAATCAACCAAGCCACGCAGATTTGCTCTATAATTACAAAGGACTCACACAATATAATCTCCTCATGAGCTGCTTCCCGCAAAGAAAGAGTCTGGGATCGGGCACCTGCGCGAAGCGTTCTCGGTCATTTGTATAGCATTCGATTCTCCAAGTCTAACCTAATAGCAATGGCCTCCAACCTAATAGCGATGGCCTTCACCCTAGTAGCAATGGCCTCCAACCTAATAGCGATGGCCTTCACCCTAGTAGCAATGGCCTCCAACCTAATAGCAATGGCCTCCACCCTAGTAGCAATGCCTCCAACCTGATAGCGATGGCCTCCACCCTAGTAGCAATGGCCTCAAACCTAATAGCAATTGCCTCCACACGAGTAGGAATAGGAATGCCCTCTAACCTACTAGCGATGGCCTCCAACCTAGAAGCGATGGCCTCCAACCTACTAGCGGTGGTCTCCAACCTAGTAGCGATGGCCTCCAACCTAGTAGTGACGGCCTCCAACCTACTAGCGATGGCGTCCAACCTAGTAGCGATGGCCTCCAACCTAGTAGCGACGGCCTCCAACCTACTAGCGATGGCGTCCA